GGGGGCTCGGGTGAGTTTCGGACCACCGCAACATGCCTAAGATTGTTGGATTTGCTGGTGTCTATGTGAATCGGGAACGCGGGGATTGGGTCGTGTTCGTGTAGAAGAAGTTTGGCAGGTCAGGATTTGTTCTTCGTGATCGCATGGAAGACGCCGGCGATCGCGAAGTGTTGGCTGAGTGAGCATTGTGGTCGCGTGGGGTCTCTCATGATCGCATAGAGGAGCCTGACGACCGGTGGCTAGTGCTTCGTTATCGCGTGGTTGCATCTGCGATCACGTAGGTGTGTCAGGTGAAGTTTCGTGATCGAGCGACTCTGTCCACATAAGAGGGAGGTTAGGCATTGGACTTTTGTGCATTGCGATCACGTAGGTTGTGATCGCGATCGCGAGGTAGTGCTGGCAGGGGTATTTTAAGTCACAATTTCGGAAATTAGCTCATTTTTTACCATTTTTGAGTTTTGGAGAATGAGAAAAGATTTGAAGAGGGACTTCACTACACTCTTAAGGGTAAGTAATTTCTACTTGATTTGATCATATATCTTGATTCACCATGGATTTCTACACCTAGAATATAGAATTTTAAAGTGAAATTTGGGAGTTTTCTCTACAACTTAAGAGAGTGTATTTTGAGGTTTTAAGTACCGATTTTGACTCGAATTTGGAATCTAATCACATATTTGGATTTGTAGTTTTCACCTTGTTAGGAGATTATTAGAGCGAAATAGGGAGAGGAACAGGGATTTACATATGGTGTTCGTCGACTTAGAAAAGACTTATGATAAAGTGCCGAAGGAGGTTCTGTGGAGATGTTTGGAGGCTAGAGGTGTTGCATACATTAGGGCTATTAAAGACATGTATGATAGAATTAAGACTCAGATGAGGACAATGGGAGGGGTCTCAGAACACTCAGTTATGATGGGGCTGCACCAAGGATCAGCTGTCAGCCCATTTCTTTTTGCCCTGGCGATCGACGCACTAATGCGCCACATTCATGAGGAAGTGTCGTGATGCATGTTATTTGTAGATGACATTGCACTAATTGACGAGACGGGAGGCGGTGTTAGCGAGAGGTTAGAGGTTTGGAGACAGACCCCGGTGTCTAAAGGTTTTAAGTTGAGTAGGACCAAGACAGAATACTTGGAGTGCAAGTTCAGTGGTGCGACTCAGGAAGTGAACGAAGACGTGAGGCTTGATCCACAAGTCATCTCTATGAGAGAGTTTCAAGTACCTTGGGTAAGTTATACAAAGGAATAGGCAGATTGACGTGGATGTCACACATCGTATTGGAGCGGGGTGGATGAAATGGATGCTCGCTTCCGGCATTTTGTGTGATAAGAATGTGCCACCAAAACTTAAAGGTAAGTTCTATAAAACGGTGGTCAGACCGACTATGTTGTATGGGACTGAGTGTTGCCAGTCAAGATCTTCCATGTCTAGAGGATGAAGGTGGCTGGAATGAGGATGTTAAGATTGATGTGCGTGCATTGCCAGGTTAGATAGTATTAGAAACCAAGCTATTCGGGACAAGGTGGGTGTGGCCCCTGTGGAGGACAAGAAGCGGGAAACGAAACTTAGATGGTCGGGTATGTGAAGAGTAGAGGCACAGATGCCTCAGTGAGGAGATGTGAGAGGTTGGTCTTAGAGGGCCTAAAGAGAGGTAGAGGTAGGCCAGAGAAGTATTGGGGTGAAGTGATTAGGCAAGACATAGTGATGCTCCAGCTTACTGAGGACATGACCGTGGATCGAAAAGTGTGGAGGTTGAGAATTAAGGTAGAGTGTTAGGTAGCCGAGCATTGTCCCTGCTTGTACCAGTAGCTTTAGTGCATTACATATAGCCTGTTTGACCAAGCTTCTTTTGGCCAAAAGTGCTTTTTTTTTGCCAAAAGCACTTTTGGCCGAAAATTGAGGTGTTTGGCCAAGCTTTTGGAAGGAAAAAAAGTGCTTTTGAGGAGAAGCAGAAGTAGTTTTGGAGAAGCAGAAAAAAGTAGCTTCTCTCCAAAAGCACTTTTTTGAGAAGTACTTTTGAGAAAAATACACTTAGAAGCAGTTTTTTAAACCTTGGCCAAACACTAATTGCTGCTCAGAAGTGCTTTTCAAACTAATTAGCCAAACACAAACTGCTTCTCGCCAAAAGTACTTTTGAGAAAAGCACTTTTGAAAAAAAACACTTCTCAAAATAAGTTGATTTTTGTAGCTTGGCCAGACGGGCTATTAGTATTAGTCTTGTATTTTCTTATTCTTATATTTCTGTTATTATTTGTTGTTTCTTTTGCTTCGGTTTTTTTATTGTATTACTTGGTGTTAGTCTTGTATTTTCGCTTCGGTTTTCTGATTGGTTTGCTTGTTGTTGCTCCTTCTTTTTATCTTTCCTGAGCCGAGGGTCTACTGGTTTCAACCTCTATGCCTTCTTAAAGGTAGGGATAAGGTCTACGTACACACTACTCTCTCAGACACCACTAGTGGGATTACACTGGGTTTGTTGTTGTTATTGTCATGGGGTTATGGGTTAACAAGATCTAGTCCTAGACTTAGGTTTTGACTATGTGGGCTCGGGTTGACTTTTTAGAATAGATTAAATATTGAAGTTTATTGCTTCGAATTGGTTTTTATGACTTTATTTGACATTATTGAGTATCATATGGCTAGATTGAGACGGTTGGAGGTGAATTCTAAATAAAAAGCTGTATTGAATTGTTGAACTTGTTCCAGAAAGAGGCAAGTATCTTGGTTGACCTCGACTCAAGAGAAACTACTTGTAAATGGCCTTATGTGCTATGTGTGTGCTTAGTTCGTTGGGGGCGATGTATATGGGTGGTGACGAGCGTATATATGTATGCCAAGGTTATAGCATGCTCCGGTAGAGATAGTCTTATTCATGCTTTTGTTCGTTTCAATGTATTATTCGCTTATGCTATAATGGATTGTGAGACCACTCAATAATTCACATGTTAGTGACCATGTTTAGGCCTTGTTGTAGGACATGAACGAGATGTCTTTTGATATGTTGGTTTCCTATTGCACCTTAGTCATGCTTATCATTTCCGTAGTGTAATATGTTTACTCATCTTCCCATATCTATATCTATGCATTCTACTATGCTTGTCGTTGATACACATGTGCTTAGTATGGATGGATCGGCTTGCACGGTGCAACGATATGGCCATTGGATCGGGTTGCACTCTGCAATTGTATTTTCATGGGATCGGGTTGCTCGGTGCAATGGATATGAATATCTTGTGCTTATTTTTTTTATATATTACTTCTCCCTTGTGGAATTGGTTCATAAGGTTATGCTTTATGCTGTTATAGCCGTAAAATTTGTTTATTAGTTCTCTTATTTGATCCCTTTTATTACTATTCACCTTTTCTCTTGTTTTGCTTTCTGTTTATAAAGTAAGTGCCATGTCTTAGCCTCGTCACTATTTCGTTGAGGTTAGGCTCGATACTTACTGAGTACATTGGGTCGGTTATACACATGCTACACTTCTGCACTTCTTATGCAGATTCAGGTATTGGTACTAGCGGAGTTCATAGAGGTGCTTAGCTATGGACATTGGAGACTTGAGGTAGTGCTGCATATCCGTTCGCAGGCCTTGGAGTTACCTTCCTTATCTTTATTACTGTTACTTGATTCAAACAGTATTGTATTTACTTGAAACCTTTATATTTAGCACTCAGTAGAGCTCATGTACTCGGTGACACTAGATCTGGGGGGTGTATGTTGTTCTGTACTTTTACTTCAGTATATGATTTATTACAGGTAGGGGTAAGGACTGCATACACTCTACCCTCCCCAGACACCACTTGTGGGATTACACTGGGTATGTTGTTGTTATTGTTGGCGTAAACCTAATTTAGAATATTGTTGTAATTCTTTCTATTGTTATTGAATACTTGGTAGTTGTAACTGTTGGTCGCCTAATTGGCGTATTAGATGTCATCACGATCTTTGATGGGATTTTGGATACAGTAATCCAGCTCCTTGATTCTTCAAAGTTTGCCTCCGGAATTAGTGAAGGACGCTTTACATTTTGTATTTAGTTTAAGGGAGTGGGTTGGTTGTCTTGGCTAAGTTGAAGAAACTCAAAAGTTCATAATTTCATGGTTCATTTCTCTCGTTTCTTCGTTTTTCAAAATTTCAGCAGCTTTAATTATATTAAAAAGCAGAATTCTATCATAGACGATCAAAATTTTCATCAGTTTAGTCTAGCTACTAAGAGTTACTTACACTAATTTCTTTTTTTAATAACCGAGAAATCCCCAAAGCTAGTGGTGCAAGATTCGAAACTCGGTGGATAGTAGGTCCTCTCTACTCTTCTCATTTAAATACCGTGCTTTTGTCTGCACAAGGGATCGAACACGTGATATGTGCCTAACCCATACATCACGCATTGTGCTCTTACTACTAGACCAAAGCATCTGGGCTATTTACACTATGATTCTTTGAAGCTAAATGCTTTAAATGAAGCTTATGGTAAGACAAGGAGCAGTTGTGTTCCGCATCCTGGAAGATCGTTAAAGCCTTAATGTCTCATATGAACTTGCTAAGTTGAAGGAAAATTTTAACTTCACATTCATTTGAGTTTTTATCTCATCGTTTCCAACTCAATATTCAAGCAAGTTACCAATGGCAGAAATTGTTGGGCAATGTATAATATTATGTTGTAATGAAAACTGCATCTAAGCGTAGACATACCTCATTTCAAAGACAACCTCACGACCTCTCCTATTACTTTATCATACAAGCATTCTTAATTCGATGATCCTTCTTAATAACATAGCTAAGTTGCTACTTATTCACAAAGTTCTAGCTAGTTCATTAACTTGATTTCAATTATTACCAAATAGCATGTGCCAATGGGTTATCATCGCCATAGCACTAGAAAAAGATAATACCAACTCAGGCTAGTCTTGTAATCCCCAAAATTTCCCAAGTCTAAGTAATATAGTCATCCAAATCTAAATAGGTGCAAAACTAGTGTATTATCATTTTCACTTACCTCAGAGATGGGCTGTTGTATCACTGATTCAACAGCAACAACCATAGCCTGCACAAAATCATCACCTCCAGTACCAATAGCTGTAAATCCTCTTTCAGTGGGGTAAGAATTCACCTGTCAAGTAAAAAAAATCAATTATCAATATTGCGAAAATGAAGAAAGGGTTTGTATTCATGTAGGAAAACGTACCTTCTTATCGAGAGCAAGCCACTCATTAGTAGCATCATCCTGCACCGTGCCTCCAATTATGACATTCGTTGTTTGCCCAACCCTCCCTTCACTCTTGGACACTTCTAAATAAATTCAATGTAAGTTAAACATCTATCCTGTATTACTAAATTAAAAGAAAAAGATAGAATTTGGGTAGACCTGAAATGGCCTTAAGGACAGCTTCTTGAGGAGGACCTTGGCCAGGGTCACCGTCAGATGCCAATGGGCTTTTATTGTTAGAGCATTTCAGATACTGACTTCTTTTATAATTGATGAGTTTACAGCCACAGCTTATTAAATTGGTGTTGGAGCATTTCTGGGTATGAAAAAATGCCCGAGTTGATTTCCGGGGAAGAGGCCTCCATGGTTCCGTCAGGAAAATGCTTCTGAGAGTCCCACACGCCATTTTGTTGATGGTCTTTTGTCTCTTATCTTGATAATCTGAGAGCTTTATTCTCTCTGTGTTGCAAGAAATGACACCACATAACGGCTTGTTCTGGCACGTTTAAATCATAGCCGCTTTTTTAAAACTATTTAAAAATAGTCATCATTATGTAGAATTTTTGGATAAACATAAGGTAGAATAGCCTAAATGACACTTATATTTGTGTCACTTTGTCATGCCGGTCCCCAAACTTATCACTTTGCTAATTGAACACTTATACTAGTTCAAATCGTATATAATAAACACTTATGACATAGGTTACCAGTGCGTGTAATATAATCTCCTACACGTAGGATGCCACGTCATTACTAGTGCCACATAGGAAAATAGACTATCTAAAAATAGGATCTTTTAGAAAACCCTAGGAATCTGCAAGTCTCTAGCAACACAAAGCAGAGTTTCTCTTTTACATCATCCATAAGGAAATTCTCGTCCAACAAATTAACGCTCCAGTAAACTCACTAATCCTCATGAAAGTGCTCAAAGCTTTCCCACCAAGATCAAGCCTTTTCACTCCATAATTCAATGTGAAATTGTGAAACACGGGTGAGGCATGAGTAATGAAAATCCACAGTCCACAACTAAGCTGCATTGGGCTTTAGACATAATCCCACAAGGGCGACGAGATGCCTCATAGAGATGGACCAAAGAGGGGGAATCAGAAACATAGAGAGCCTTAAAATTGAAATCTTCGAACCATACATACCCAGAAGCTTCAAGCGAGCTTTAATGGCGTCTCTGCTTGTCCCTCCGGTTTAGATCCTCAAACACAAATGTTTATTGCATTTTCAAGTCTTAATTTCAATACCCAGCTGAGTTTTAGTACTAGATTTCAAACACTAGATTTGTTCTTCGCAAGACCTGCAATGGAATTTCGAAAATTCTCAACAAACAAGCCTTTGAATCTCCTTTTCAAAATCCGAATAAAGATTCAAATAGTGAAACACAGCAACAATAACCAAAACAAGCCTTTGAAGGCTCATCCATTGTTTACAGTAGTGTGGAGGGGAAAGATGAATTAAGGGCGAGAAGAAAGGTGGGATTTTCGGCCCAATTTTGCGCCTGATTTTAGTTTAATTCATTTTTAATAAAAAAATCACTAGTATCACTCTCTTCACACGCGTGTGTTACACATAATTTGTCCACCTCAGATATGTCAATGCCACATAAGCTCGGTCAATGGTCAAAGGATTTAGAATATACGATTTGAACTAGTGTAAGTGTTCAATTGGCAAAATAATAAGTTTGGGGACCGGCATGACAAAGTGGCACAAGTATAAGTGTCATTTAGGCTATTCTGCCTAAACATAACCCTAACTTAACACGGATAACTTTAGACCATCGGATGCCAGATGCCAACTTCAAACATGAAGGTTTGAAGTTTGAAAACCTAGACTGTCACGCCCCGAGCTTGTGGAGCGCAACCTGCGCTCAATAGGGTTAACCCGGTCGAGCAAGCCTGCACAATGTCGTCTACTCAACTCACCCATGAATAAAGAAAAGAATACATTTCATTAATTAGACAGTAAAAGGTCATGTGAATAACACCAGTAATTTCCATAAGTACGTCATTAACAAGTCTCCAAAACAGTACACTATACATTCGTTGTTAAAGTGGAACAAATGATACAACTACAACAAGGTTGGTTCAACCTTCCCAAAACAAGGTACAACCCACACTATATCTATGGAGCCTCGAACAGAACCAAAAGAGTGGTAAGGCAGTGCCGGCAACAAGGCCCCGACTATACCTCAAAATGATATGTACAAAGGACAAGAAATACAGTACCCCAAAGTGAAGTGGGGCTCACCAAGTCAGCTGAGGAGAGGGTATGCTATGATCACGGATCAACACCACCTGCTATGGAACCACCTGCATCCATTTAAAGATGCAGCGCCCCCGGTAAAAGGGACGTTAGTATATATGGAATAGTACTAGTATGTAAAACTAAACACCCTCTCAATCTGACGAATAACAATAAACGGATAAAGAAATATGAATTCATTAAGAGACTTAAATGGTTTCAAGGTATCGAATTGGGGGAAAAGTAATTTCAAGTAAGTCTCAATCTTTGTAAGTTAGGAGATCTTTAGCACTGATACACCATTGTGTTTCTAGCATGGAGTCCGATCTCAGCCCGCTCAGTTAAGTCGTCTCACCCCGAGACATCCACTCACAATACCACTATGTACGCGGCATGGCGTCCTATCTCAGCCCGATCGGCTAATCAGTCTCACACAATGTCGTGTGGATCGACATCATGTCACATCTCGCTAGCAATAATCTCATCCCATTCAAGGGAAAACATCTCAACACATCATCATCATCCAATATAAGGGAAAACAACCTCATCACATCAACATGGGGGTTTACCCCTCAATCACTACTACACCGGCACGTGTAGTTTCGGGGTTAGGTTATTTTGGCCTACACTTCCTCGGTGACTAAACGATACTCCCAAACCATTTATTATTAAAAGGATTTACCACTCATTTCATATTCTTTTACATGCCATTCATTTCATTGGCACCAATGGCCATAACGCAATATCATTCTTGGCACGTTGGCCGGATATCATATTTTATGCTCTTTTCTTTCACTTTCAAATATAATCATGGATAATTAACAACAAGACTTTTCAAATTAAGACTTTAAACACACATTTGAGCAACTTAGGGTCTTAGGCACATGTGATTTCTTACACAAATTGACATGATAGCTTTTGTTAGAATCACATTTATAAATCATAACATATTAACACACAGCCCATACTTAAACCACATTCTCAAACAGTAACTCAACAACAAGAACCTTTGGGACACATATTGAAACGCATATTTATTTTGACACACGGCTTATTCGGAATAATCATTTCATAATAATCATCACGGGACTTTCAAGGCCATTGTGGGGTTCAATTCTAAAAGAGGAGTTTAGCCAACATACCTCGCTTTGAGCGTTTCTTAATTCACTACACAGTTTCGGAATCCTAGCAACTTTGATCTATTTAGAGATATAGCAAAATTGAACACAAATTAGGAAGGAGTTCATGGTTCCAACTCATTTAAGCATTTTATCAAACACTAGGTGGTCATTATGATTTCAAGGTCCTCCTATGGTGTATTCCTCTATTTCACTACCCAAAATCTGTCCAATTGAGCTCAACAATCTTCTCACAACCCTAGATAGTACATGTATGCATAATGAACAACTCCCACACCCAAGAATTGCTTGGCTTATTACCTATTTTCAGTTAAATCTCGAAATTGAAGGTTAGGGCTAGAATCTTACCTTTTGGTTGAAGACCTTGTGAGTTAACCTTGTGAAATCTTTAATGCTTGAGCAAAGATTGATGAACAAATGACTTAGAAATTTCTTTTCTCACTCTAGACCACCTTCCTCTCTCTAAAATATAAGTTTGAACCTTCTAAAATGATCCCGAAGTTTGTTTTATAAGAATAGGTTAAGTTTATAAAACCAGAAAAATGAAGTCCCGATGCAGATTTGCGGTCACATGCGGTCCACAAAATGGGCCGCATAATGGCCCTCTAGAACTGGGCATTTCTGCTTCACTCTATGACAGATCTGCGATACGCAGATTAGTTCTGCGATCGCAGAATGGACCGCAGAAATGCCTTGTACTGCCAAAAATTTTCTTAAACTCCCCAACGCACTGTTTAACACAAAAAGTCTGTATCTCAATACCACAAAAAGTCAGGTTTTAGGTAAATTTATGGGGCCTTACATAAACGTAAAATCAAAACTTTAGACTGTCTTGGTTTAACCACTCATAATTAAAATCTTCAAATTTAAAATTATATTATTGTAATATTCTGAAGTTTTTATTTAGATAAAAAGACAAACTTGCATCTCCTTGTGACCATTTTACAAGGTCACTGATAACAGTTCTGGGCAAAGTTTTACCATCATTAATATTTATGCGCTTTTATCATGAGACAAACACAAAAGTTGAGCCTACAAATGAAAATTTCTACTTTAACATTGGTTGAGATTGTATCTTTGCCTTCAGACTGTTTTGCTTCATGCTTCTTTTTATTATTACCATCGGATGAACAAAATAAAAGCTATAAAGTGTCTCGACCCGTTTATGATCAAGTTACGATCAACACATGGTGCCCTAACTTGACTGAGCAAACCAACTTGACTATTCTAACCTACACTTTCTTATTAAATTTCCTATTGTGCATTTATAATAAGCAACTTAACTTTTAAAAAAAATTCTTAGTTAACCAAAAATTAACAATCTTTGGATAACTAAGAAGACAAAATAAAGTTGAGTACTCTGGAAATCCATAATCCAACTAAACCAATAGTTTTCCCTAGAAGCAGAAGCAGTTTTAATTTTTTTTCTTATCAAAAATACCCTTAATAAAATATAGTATATACCAAAATAACCTTACTTATTTTAAACCTAAATACTTAGGATATTAATATATATGCATTTCTTCTTATTTTTAGGATAGCTTTTTAATATACAGTAACTTCAGAGGTGAATGCTTTTATATTTATAGAATAATTTTTAAATATATTTAAATAATCTTACAGGAATTAAAGTGCTTTTAAATTTTATTTTCATATTTTACTTTGAAAAGATTTCATTATTGTCTTTAATAATAAATTTTTGTGATTATTTATTTACTTATAATATTAACTACTAAGTAAATATATTATTGTCTTATTCGTAATTTGATACTTCAAGCACTTTTTGAAAAGTTTGGCCAAACACAAACTATTACTCAAAAGTGCTTTTCAGATTGATTAGTCAAACACAAACTGCTTCTATCCAAAAGTACTTTTTCGAAAAACACTTTTAGAAAGAGCATTTTTCGATAAATTTTTCCTGACCAAATATGTTGCAAGTTTATGAATTCTCTACAGAAGTACTTTTTGGGTTGCTCGGGCATAGAGTTCCTCGCTTATCCCCAAAATAAATAGGAGTACTAAATAGAGCAACTAACTTCCTGTAACGACCCGACCGGTCGTTTTATTTTCTAGAACCTCGTTCTCCTAAA